GACAGACTGTCGACAGAGGAAGTGAGTTAAATAAAAGCTTGTAAAAAAAATTCATAAAAAACGTTTTAATAACAAGCTTTTATGTAAGGATGCACTAAAAAGTAGAAAATAAATTATAGACTACTATTTAAATAACTATAAAGAAAAGCGTGGGTCACTTTAGTATTTATTGGATACCTTTACTAATGTTAAGGAAGACACCCACGCTTTTCTTTATAGTTATTTAAATAGTAGTCTATAATTTATTTTCTACTTTTTAGTGCATCATTACATAAAAGCTTGTTATTAAAACGTTTTTTATGAATTTTTTTTCAGTACTTTACATGTTTTATTTACAATAGAGTTACATGACTAAAAACCATTGCGCGCCTACTGAACATCACGTTCAGTAGGCGCGCAATGGTTTTTGAACGCAGCCATTACGTGATGGCGCAGCTATTGAAAGTGATGACGCGTGTGGTGTGGTTGGCTAGACATGCCTACTAATTCGGTCCAAATTTTTATTAATTCATAAAAAATTAATTAGGCATCCAATTAAGTCAAATTTAGTTTCAGATTGCATTGTCTTCATGTCTTGACCCACGTGCCAACTGTGAATCGTATCGGTCAAGTAGAACTGTCCGAATTTTCACTCCTGCGTTTCCGTCTAGACTGACGACTGACGACAGAGGAAGCAAGTTAAATAAAAGCTTGTAAAAATCAATTAAATTGATGATATATTAAAATTTCATGCATAATTTTGTAGTTAAGGAACTTGTGATAGTTTCTATGTTATCTCTGTATTTATAAAACCTGATCTATATTTTTAATAATTTTATTGAAAGAAAAAAAACAACGGTCGACAAGAATAAAAATTAACAGGGTAAAATGTAAGCTATTAAAATAAGGCTATTATTATTTACGAGAAAAATGGCCCGTTGAGGAAGGATACACCGGGCGCTAGGTTGATAGTGCTGTCTATTTTCTCTAAACTAAAACCACCCCCCACACCCCCCCCCCCCCCACCCTCACCCCCACCCCCCTCCAATTAACATGTCTACCGTCCCATTCAACGAAATATAATTATATACTTTTTCCAGTGTCCGCCCCCTCCCCGAAAATTCTACCCCCGCCCCCGAAAATTTCAAGTACCCCCAACCCCCGAAAATTTCAAGTACCCCCACCCCTCTCCGTGGAGGAAAAAGTCTGAAAGAAACACTGGTGTCGCGCTTAGCCACTACGCGAAGAATTGCATTAAAGAAATTTCAAGAAAACCACTTTTTAGATTAGACACATTAATTAGGCGGTAATTTTATTATACAGTATCGATGAGGAAATTTCTTTTGAGTTGGGGAGGGGAGGGGGCGGCCTCAGACGTTCTTACGCGGGGGTGGGGCTTCGCCCCTACCCGAAGAACTGTATGAAAGAAACTCTTCACGCAAACCGCTTAGATTAGACAAAATTGCCTTTTTATTCAATGTTTACTCGAGAATCAATGACGTCATATTACTGTGTGCACTCTCCGGCTTGATATTATTTTCTACTATACGATGTCATACTTCGTTTCGTTTCACTGTGCAAGTTTTTAATTTGCTTGTGTTTTCTCTAGAGCGTTCTTGTCAGATAGAGCGTTTTTGTCAGATAGATAGACAGACAGCGAAACTATTATTATAGACGAGAAAAATGGCCCGTTGAGGAAGGATACAACGGGCGCTAGGCTGATAGTGCTGTCTCTTTTCTCTAAACTAAAACCAACCCACCCCCCCCACACACACACCACTCCCCAACCCCACCCCCTACCCCCCACCACCCCACCCACCCCCACCCCCACCCCCCAAAAAAACATGTCTACCGTCCCATTCAACGAAATTTAATTATAAACTTTTTCCAGTGTCCGCCCCCTCCCCGAAAATTCTACCCCCGCCCCCGAAAATTTCAAGTACCCCCGCTCCTCTCCGGGGAGGAAAAAGTCTGAAAGAAACACTGGTGTCGCGCTTAGCCACTACCCGAAGAATTGCATTAAAAAAATTGCAAGAAAACCACTTTTTAGATTAGACACATTAATTAGGCGGTAATTTTATTATAGAGTATCGATTACGACATTTGGGGCGGGAGGGGGGGCTCAGACGTTCTTACGCGGGGGTGGGGCTTCGCCCCTACCCGAAGAATTGTATGAAAGAATTGTATAAAAGAAACTCTTCACGCAAACCACTTAGATTAGACACAATTTCCTTTTTATTCAATGTTTACTCGAGAATCAATGACGTCACATTACTGCGTGCACTCTCCGGCTTGCTCTAAGCTAAATGTCACTGCGTCATACTTCGTTTTTCGAATTACTGTGCATGTTTTTAATTTCCTTGTGTTTTCTCTAGAGCGTTCTTGACAGACAGATAGATAGATACACAGATAGATAGATACAGACAGCTAAACTATTAGTATTAACGAGAAAAATGGCCCGTTGAGGAAGGATACACCGGGCGCTAGGTTGATAGTGCTGTCTCTTTTCTCTAAACTAAAACCAACCCCCCCCCCCCCCACACACACCCCCCCCCACCCCCCACCCCCCCCCCACCCACCCACCCCCACCCCCACCACCAAAAAAACATGTCTACCGTCCCATTCAGCGAAATATAATTATATACTTTTTCCAGTGTCCGCCCCCTCTCCGAAAATTCTACCCCCGCCCCCGAAAATTTCAAGTACCCCACCCCTCTCCGGGGAGGAAAAAGTCTGAAAGAAACACTGGTGTCGCGCTTAGCCACTACGCGAAGAATTGCATTAAAGAAATTGCAAGAAAACCACTTTTGAGATTAGACACATTAATTAGGCGGTAATTTTATTATAGAGTATCGATGAAGAAATTTCTTTTGAGTTGGGGAGGGGGAGGGGCTCAGACGTTCTGAGGCTTCGCCCCTACCCGAAGAATTGTATGCAAGAAACTCTTCACGCAAACCACTTAGATTAGACAACATTTCCTCTTTATTCAATGTTTACGTCAGAATCAATGACGTCATTATATTACTGTGTGCACTTTCCGCCTTGAGATTATTTTCAACTCTATGCTAAATGTGTCGACGTCATACTTCGTTTTTCGAATTACTATGCAGGTTTTTAATTTCCTTGTGTTTTCTCTAGAGTGTTCTTGTCAGACAGATAGATAGATAGATAGATAGATAGATAGATAGATACATAGAGAGGCAGCGAAACTATTATATAGAATTGATTACTATTTTGGCCAGGCAAGATCGAACTAAAACAATTTAAAATACATCAATGTAATCGGGTAGGCCAACAATTTAAAATAAACCGGGAGTGATCTCCCCTAAACTTTCTAGATATTCTTGTATAAAACAACAGGGGATGGGAACTTATAGACATGATTTTTAATCCATTTTAAATACTTAAAGTTTTAAAAATAGAATAAAATATCGTGGACAAAAGAATTGCACACCAAGTGAACGCCAAATAAAAACGTGCATAATAGTGCGCAATATTATTAGTACTTTAAAAATATAAATTAGTTTTTTGAGAAATCGGAAGTAGCGTAAATTACTACTTCCGTTTAATGGAATTTTCTCAAAATTTAACAGAAGGTAGAGATTTATATCTTTTCCTTACGTGTGAAATTTCATTTATCTATCTGAAATAGTACTCAAGTTATAGGCTTTTGAATAATTCAAAGTAGAAAAAGTACCACTTCCGGTTATCGGAAATCGCTCAAACGTTGATACGGATCTACGATTTTGATAAAATACTTAAATATGGAATGTCATCAACCTAGCTGTAACGGTACTCAAGTTATCGTGTTTACACACGGACACACAGACAGACAGACAGACACACAGACATACGGACAGAATTGCAAAGCCCAGTTTTTCAGACTGGATTACGCATAAAACCTCTTAATTTTGATAAATATGGATTGATAATTTTTGCCCGATTAAAATAAGTCCTCTATACTTCGGATGTTATGAAGGACTGAGGTGTAATACGGTGAAAATTGTTAAAATTTCAAGTGATTTTTGTATACGATTACAATACTTTCTCTATACTTCGTATATACGAGAAAGTAAAAAACAAAAATTCGAAAACCATTGAAAAAATACTATTGGAATTTTCCTTCAATGATAAAAATAAAGTAATGAGGAAAACCCCCGAAATCTAAAAATAGTAAAATGTGTAATAATATCGTCAGGATTTCCCGAACGCATTATCCCCAAGAGCAGACTTGAAACCAGTTCAAGAAAGACCTGGCCAATGGTGTTGTAAGTGTAAGTTAATCTGTTGTTTCTTTGGTTCAGCATTACCACTTTAACAAAACGTTTAAATTATACGATAAAATCTGAATAACATTCGGGAAACTAAATAAATTAGATTTTCTTTATTGAATTTTTTTGTGAGTCCATGTCATCCACACCACCCTCATCTCGCCCCCACAGAATTGAAGTTTTTGAAACTCTTCGTCATCTGTCGTGTTGACATTCCCGTTGGAAATGAATAAATATTGATCTAATGTTATTACAAGCTTTAAAATTAACTTCAAATGTTGCAATTTATTATTGCAATAATTAATTTGATTAGAGTACACACATTCGTCATTCGCGGATAAAAATTATTGGAGTATTCAACAGTTGTTAATGGATCTAGATCTATATAGATCTAAATTATTGTATTGTCATCCGACGTAGATTTTAAAAACAATCTTTTGAGACATTATTTTAAGACTTAATCAAAAAAGGCTTTTGACATTTAAATATTTAATTATAACAACACGTTTTAGACTAGATTTAGATTCTAGATTTGATCTTAAAATACTGACGTGTATCTGGCTAGTATTCATGTCATAACATCTCGGCGTAACTGCATTGAACAAGTTATTTCAAGAACTTCCACAAAAAAATCAAATATTTATTACTTTATCGTAAAATAAAGACTAGATTCTGCGTGTGCTGCATTCTTAAAACAAGATTTACATCTCGATCTAGTCTATATCTACACTACAAAATACGACAAACAACAATTTAGCTATTTTGATCGACAATTTAATAACACGATATTTACAGTATCGAATACGTTGCCGCTGCCGTTTGCGTGCTTCAGATCTCAGCAGACGACAACAGACAACAATATTAAATGTTAGGTTTTCAAAATATTTAGTATTTTAATTTTTAATGAATTGTGTGTATGACAAACTTTCAAAGATACAGATCTAGATCTAGACACAACTCAATCTGTCGTTCATTTACTCTAGATCTAGACTGATAATGTCAATAATGACTAGATTAGTAGATCTAGCCCTTAATTTTAATATTAGAATTCTACCCACAGTCGTACAGTCGTACAGAGAGTACACTGGCTACTGCACCTCCTTGATTCTCAGTCTCTACTTTCAAACTACTTTCAAGATGTCTAGATCTAGATTCTAGATCTACTTACTACTACTCTACACAGTCTACTACAGAATCTAGTTCTAGAATCTAGTCGTCTAGAATATATAATAATTGATAGTTCTAGATCTAGGCCTAAATATTGTAAATTATTAGCCTAAATTTATCTGAATAAGCCTAATCTAGTCTAGATTAGATTGCAAGATACAGATAGGATCTGAATAAAAAGGAAATAATGCTAGTCACTCATGTCTAGACACTGTAGTTGTAAGCCACTGCACAGCTGTTAGACTTCTATTTCCAGATTCTATAACTATATCTAGAGGCCCAGACACTACACTATCTGCAATCACTATAGCTATTTGCTGCATTAATAGGCAGGAAATCCCCCATAGCATGGAAGTTATCCAGTAATGTTTGTTGAGTTTCATTAACATTAGTTACTAGTGCAAACCGTGATTTGTTTTTACTGTTGAAATATAATATAGATCTAGTCAATGTACTAAATTAATGTTTGAACTTTATGTTTAATCAACACTCGGAAACAGAAATAAATAGGCCCTAGTTATAAATATAAATAATAAAGTCAAGTGTAGTAATAAGTTTAATTTTTTTTTTAAAGACAGAAATAAAAATCTTGCAGAGGATTTGCACTAATCAATTTAGAATTAGATCTAGATCTAGTAAAAATGATTGCGCAAATATAAAAATGGCTAATAGAACAATATTTAGTAACAGCAATAATTATCAGGAATGCTTAAAAATAATTAGCAATACAAAATGATTAGCAAAACAGTATTCAACATGCAAAAAAATCAATCCATCCAAATTTTTTAATGTTCAATATTAAAAATAAAAGATAGTGCCAAATCAAGTATGGTTTACAGTACTCCCGGTACATTGCTATAGACTAATCTTTGTTTTATTGTTTTTTAACTGCTATACCATTCCGAAATAAAAACGGATGCTAAACTGGGGTATTACGAATAGGCCTGTATATCTAACTCATTTATTATATTGCAACCAAGTTAGAGAAATTAATTAGAGTTTAGACTAGAGCATACACTGTTAATCTAGATTTGTTAATAGATGTAATCCTATATTCTAAAGTGATGAAGGTATATAATACTGTGCATGTCTTTTTATCAAGGTGTATGAAGGAGAAACATAGACAGTGGAATCACCCATCAATAGGGCTATGAAGACATAATTTTGTTATTCAAAAGATCCAATTTGAGGTTTGTGTTGAAGCCTGCATTTTTTTTATTCATTCAATAGAATTTAATCTAGCATTTTAATAGACCACATATTTTTAAAGTCAACTTTGATTACTTCTTAGAAAATGTATTTACAATTTAGTCAATAATTTTGTGTCTCTTTTGTAGGTTTAAATTTTAGAATCACATTAAGATGTGCTTGAAACTGAATTTTTTCCATTATTTCACATTTAAAATACTTTTTTTATAAATTGTAATAGAAGATATATACTAAGCTTCAATAGGTTAAAGATATTTTAGTATAAAATCTCTTAATAATAAAAAATTACAAGGTTGAGGTGTGATATCATTTTAAGGGGTGGGGGTGGGGGGATGGAATCTGGCATGAAAGACTATTGATAGATGGCAGATAAATATTAAAAATGTGAGACAATTAAAAGCCACACATTTTAAACATTTTAAAGATGACATTAGCTAAAACTAAAACATTATTTATTGAAGAAAAGCACAAGTAATGTGAGTTTTAAGATTATTTACTTGATATTGTTATAAAAATAATTTGTTCTTATTTGAGTTTATCTAGCTGATAACTAAGTGAAAAGAAAAACAAATTGACACAAAAATAATAAAGCTTTTATGAAAAAGACATATAGTTTGTCTTCACATCACCAGAATAGAATCTGAACTCATCCATAAAGTTGACTTAAATGATGATAACTTTTGTAACAAAATCATAATAATGTAAGTTTATTTTACAATAATTTTTTTATTGCAGGTAAAGTTGTCAGAGATGGAAATTACAGGTGGGAAGAATAAAGAAAATCAGTTGGCAGAGAACGGTAAAATAATTTTTTCTAGGCTACATGTTTTGTATTTGCTGTAAATGTTTAGAACATCCCAGTTGCTTTACAAATAGAGAAATGCTTTATTTGCTGGTATAGGTTTGTGTTTAATCTAATTGAAACCTTGATGTTCAAATGTTTTAGGTGTAACGCATAGACAAGATGAGACAACACAGTTGGAAGAAAGACAAGATGAGACAACACAGTTGGAAGAAAGACAAGATGAGACAACACAGTTGGAAGAAACAAAAAATAAAGGTGGTTTTATACCAGGTGAGTCTCCAATTGTGTAAAATATGTATGAAAAATGTAAGAAGTTAAATTTATACAGATTTGCTGGGCACATGATTACATTACTTACAGCTAATACTCTATCTGAGTCTGTTGACAACTGGTGGTTAGTTAAATGTTTATTTGGCAGGCAATATTTAACACATGATACATGTAAACTCTACTTCAGCTAATTAAAAAAAATTAAAAATGAGAAGTTTTTGTTAATTTTTATACTTGCACTTTGGTTTGCCAAGTACCTTATTTTAAATACATTTAAATTTGTATTTTTTAAAAATATGGATTCCCTCCCCTTGTATCTCTCCAGGACATCATGAAGCCGAGATCTGCTATGGAGGTGAAGCTGACTTACACAAGCACTATACCGGCTGTAAGAAGAATCCAGGTCATGTCAACTTTATACCTGTAAATAATTTTAACTTGGATCATCTCCCCTCACGTTACCATGACGACATCATGTTGGAGCTAATCAAAGCTTTGTCTGCCATAACGGTCCTGATAAAGGTCAAGTACACCAGTCTAGAGAGACCAAAGTCTGTTCCATGCTTCAGTGGTCAGTATCCATTTTATAACACCAGAGGAAGTGACGTGTTGAGGACAGGGACGGGGAGGGTGTGTCGTGTGTACAAGTACACAGAGAGTGACAACAAGGTCACTTGTCCATGTGGCAAGTGTCAACACTCAGACACACCCAGCAAAGTGTGGGGGGAGGTTTGTGTGGGGACAGCCGCACACGTGGTGTTTGATGAGAGTGAGGCGAGACAGACCAGGTGTGTTGTAGGTTTTGATGACAATAAAAGTCCTGGGGTCAGTCTTGATGGCTGGGAGGTGGTGGAGGCAGACATTGAGGGAGACGGGTGTGAGTTTACATGTGTGTCATGTGACTTAGAGTTGGTTGATGAACTGTACAAGATGTGTGGGCACTTTGATGGTCTATGTGAGAAAGTAATGGTCAAATACGGGAGATATGATGATGGGGACAAGTTGGCCGTTATAGTGTCACATCCTCATGGCTGTCCTAAACAGGTCTCTGTAGGACAATGGACACACAATCATGAGAGGGGAGGTAGGTACAAGTACACGTACACAACATGTACATGTCCTGGCTCCAGTGGAGCACTTGTCTACATACCGGGATATGGCGGGTCCTGGTCACATCCCCACAGTGGATCAAACTCTGAAGGAAATTATTGTGGGGAGGGTTGGGGTTGGTGATGATCTATCTGTAACTGTTGGTTCTCTCCCCTTGTCTAATGTAAACAAGCAAAATGGCGGCTCACTTCATTAAACTTGTGTGTGTCAAGACTTGAATGTCTTCATCAGCAACTTTGTATTTTGGTGAAGACAAGAAATAAATTGTTTGGTTTCTTTCAGTCATTTGTTTAGAGTTGTTAGACACATAAACAAAATTATAAACACATGTTTATTTCAATAAAATGTGTTGCATGTTATTGTATATTTAAATATATTAATTATTATAGAAGATTATTGATTTGTTATAAGCCTACTGATGATTTTAATCTATGTCAATAAAGTTTTAGATTTCAAAGTTTCTTTCATTCATTTTGTTATCGTTGATAATCTTAATGTTTTGTGTTGATGATAAACAAAACACGATGGTAGTGAAGAGAAATGTCGGCAGTCAAGTTTGTAGCTGAGACTTAATGTCGGCAGTCAAGTTTGTAGCTGAGACTTAATGTCGGCAGTCAAGTTTGTAGCTGAGACTTAATGTCGTCAGTCAAGTTTGTAGCTGAGACTTTATGTCGGCAGTCAAGTTTGTAGTTGAGACTTAATGTCGGCAGTCAAGTTTGTAGCTGAGGCTTAATGTCGGCAGTCAAGTTTGTAGCTGAGTCTTAATGTCGGCAGTCAAGTTTGTACCTGAGACTTAATGTCGGCAGTCAAGTTTGTACCTGAGACTTAACAATGGAAACCAAGTCTATAGCTGAAATATTGATACGACATATTGCATCTTACAATATTTTAAAAACGATTTTCTTTAAATTTTCAGGTAATTATATTTTTTTTCAATACGCGACATTAGTCCTTAAAAAACCGGGAGTGATCTCCCCTAAACTTTCTCGAATATTTTTACTTTCTCGTATATACGAAGTATAGAGAAAGTATTGTAATCGTGCACAAAAATCACTTGAAATTTTAACAATTTTCACCGTATTACACCTCAGTCCTTCATCACATCCGAAGTATAGAGGACTTATTTTAATCGGGCAAAAATTATCAATCCAGATGTATCAAAATTAAGAGGTTTTGTGTGTAATCCAGTCTGAAAAACTGGGCTTTGCAACTCTGTCCGTATGTCTGTGTGTCTGTGTGTGTGTGTGTGTGTCCGTGTGTAAACACGATTACTTGAGTACCGTTACAGCTAGGTTGATGAAATTTCATATATAAGTAGTTTATCAAAATCGTAGATCCGTATCAACTTTTGAGCGATTTCCGATAACCGGAAGTGGTACTTTTTCTACTTTGAATTTTTAAAAAGCCTATAACTTGAGTATTATTTCACATAGATAAATGAAATTTCACATGTAAGTAAAAGATCTAATTCTCTACCTTCTGTTAAATTTTGAGTAATTTCCGTTGACCGGAAGTAGTAATTTACGCTACTTCCGATTTCTCATAAAACTAATGTAAATTTTAAAAGTACTAATAATATTGCGCACTATTAAACACGCTTTTATTTAGCGTTCACTTGGTGTGCAATTCATTTGTCTACGAGATTTTATTCTATTTTTAAAACTTTAAGTATTTAAAATGGATTAAAAATCATGTCTATAGCCCGAGTTCCCATCCCCTGTTGTTTTATATAAGAATATTCGAGAAAGTTTAGGGGAGATCACTCCCGGTTTATTATATAAAATAACAGGGGATGGGAACTCGGGCTATAGACATGATTTTTAATCCATTTTAAAGACTTAAAGTTTTAAAAATAGAATAAAATCTCGTAGACAAATTAATTGCACACCAAGTGAACGCGAAATAAAAAAGCGCATAATAGTGCGCAATATTATTAGTACTTTTAAAATTTACATTAGTTTTTTGAGAAATCGGAAGTAGCGTAAATTACTACTTCCGGTCAACGGAAATTACTCAAAATTTAACAGAAGGTAGAGAATTAGATCTTTTACTTACATGTAAAATTTCATTTATCTATCTGAAATAGTACTCAAGTTATAGGCTTTTGAAAAATTCAAAGTAGAAAAAGTACCACTTCCGGTTATCGGAAATCGCTCAAAAGTTAATACGGATCTATGATTTTGATAAAATACTTATATATGAAATTTCATCAACCTAGCAGTAACGGTACTCAAGTTATCGTGTTTACACACGGACACACAGACACACACACACACACACACACACACACAGACATACGGACAAGATTGCAAAATTATGTTTTTCCGTATCAGTGAGGTGTAAAACGTCGAGATTTGTAAAAATCTCGATTTTTTTTTTGCACGATTACAATACTTTCTCTATACTAACTACGTATATACGAGAAAGTAAAAACGAAGGTTATGTTATTGTATTTTTGTCCACTTTGAAATCATCCCAGAAGGACGACATTAAAGTCCAGACTATTCTATGACGGTATTGTACATCATGAGATAACTGGTTTACTTACTTTTGGTTCTAGTGAATTGTGTCGCTAAAAATAGCAAAGTGAACACCTTTACCACGTGATCAGATCTGTACAGTAAACATGCTATTTTGTGTTGAGAGTTTGATGTTGACATGTCACATTCTATTTCCTAAGGTCTGACGACAAATTGTCAAACTGTATCTTTTGCAGGTAGGTCTATTTACCGCAAGATGTATCTTGGTACAAGAAAGTATTTTAAAAAATAGTTTGATTTAATTTGTAATTAACAATGACACTGTATGTTAACTATAAGAAAATGAATTGTTTATTCTGAAAACTTGTCTTATTATAGTATCAAGTGTTGAAGTAAAGCAAAAAATTGCTGGATGCATAGTTGACCTTTGGCCCCATTCTGTCACCAGCCGTCATTGGATTTACATTACCAGAAGCAAACACTCACACAACTTTTTCGGTTCATGGATACATACATACACTTCAAAGATTTATATATATGTGTATATATATATATATATATATATATATATATATATATATATATATATATATATATATATATATATATAGATATAGATATATATATAGTTATTACTTTTCCTCCTGATAAACACTTAAAAAGCTCCATATAAAAAAACATTTCGCACACATTCAAATAAATGCATAGTGATCTAGCTGTGTACCAAATCGTATTGGATTTAAGTCGTTTTTGTTGGAAAGTAAGTTTTCGTCCTTAACTGTGGCTGACCACATGTGTAATGGCCTCATCAATGACACTTTGTCCTTGTAGACAAAAAATGTCACAAAACATTGACATGTTTTAAGCCACCCAGGTCACAATACACTTGATCATACCAATAGATAAATCCCACTTTGGCAGTTAGTACTTTACAAAAATGTTTGGCTGTAATGCTCATGTCATATAGTCTGTGTGGACCACAGAACAAAGGAAGGAGATTGACCAAATTAAAAGCCTGAAACCCTGGCATGTCGACCACTACAATTGTCATCACGGATCCTACTAAAAGCCTGAAACCCTGGCATGTCGACCACTATAATTGTCATCACGGATCCCACTAAAAGCCAAGAGCCGAGGCGTTGGGCCGGCGCTGACCTCTGTTGCTGTGTTTATGGACGGCGATGTAGACGACGTAGCTGGAGACGAGGATCATGGTCAGCATGATGCCCATCAGGCTCAGGAAGATGGAGACCTTGGCCCTAATGGCCCCCCTCTCGTTCTGGCCATCCCTGTAGGCGGCCGCGGCCCGCAGGGAGAAGTAGAGAGCCAGCAGACCAAAGGGCAGGTTAAAACAGCACGTGACCAGCAGACCAATGGCGAAGTTGGTCTGGGGGATGGCGGTTAGTTCCGGTTTGGTTTGGGAGGGGGGTTTCCCGCCAGCTTCAGTTCTTGGGGCCGCCATCTTGTTTAGGTTTGTGTGCGGGCTTTTATTTGGTGGCGTCCTAATAGCTGGAGATAGGAAAGTTTGGGTTGCCATGGCAACGTTAGACTAGGCTACTTCTTCAACTTGCGTAGCGATTTAAACCTATTTGATGAACTGTGTCTTGTCTGACCCTGATGCTACTGATTCTGTAGTGTGTCTTGTAGTTGGTGTAGACTGGACTAACGACATTTTACCTGCCAGAAGGGAAAATATTTGACAATTATTATCTTAATGAAACGATTGCATGGTCTGTAGGCTTTATAGTGTTAGCAACACACCACATTTACTGGAGCCACACACCACATTTACTGGAGCCACACACCACATTTACTGGAGCCACACACCACATTAACTAGAGCCACACACCACATTAACTAGAGCCACACACCACATTTACTGGAGCCACACACCACATTTACTGGAGCCACACACCACATTTACTGGAGCCAGCCACACACCACATTTACTGGAGCCACACACCACATTTACTGGAGCCACACACCACATTTACTGCAGCCACACACCACATTTACTGGAGCCACACACCACATTTACTGGAGCCACACACCACATTTACTGGAGCCACACACCACATTTACTGGAGCCACACACCACATTTACTGGAGCCACACACCACATTTACTGGAGCCACACACCACATTTACTGGAGCCACACACCACATTTACTGGAGCCAGCCACACACCACATTTACTGGAGCCACACACCACATTTACTGGAGCCACACACCACATTTACTGGAGCCACACACCACATTTACTGGAGCCACACACCACATTTACTGGAGCCACACACCACATTTACTGGAGCCACACACCACATTTACTGGAGCCAGCCACACACCACATTTACTGGAGCCACACACCACATTTACTGGAGCCACACACCACATTTACTGGAGCCACACACCACACTTACTGGAGCCACACACCACATTTACTGGAGCCACACACCACATTTACTGGAGCCACACACCACATTTACTGGAGCCAGCCACACACCACACTTACTGGAGCCACACACCACATTTACTGGAGCCACACACCACATTTACTGGAGCCACACACCACACTTACTGGAGCCACACACCACATTTACTGGAGCCACACACCACACTTACTGGAGCCACACACCACATTTACTGGAGCCACACACCACATTTACTGGAGCCACACACCACATTTACTGGAGCCACACACCACATTTACTGGAGCCACACACCACACTTACTGGAGCCACACACCACACTTACTGGAGCCACACACCACATTTACTGGAGCCACACACCACACTTACTGGAGCCACACACCACACTTACTGGAGCCACACACCACATTTACTGGAGCCACACACCACATTTACTGGAGCCACACACCACATTTACTGGAGCCACACACCACACTTACTGGAGCCACACACCACATTTACTGGAGCCACACACCACATTTACTGGAGCCACACACCACATTTACTGGAGCCAGCCACACACCACACTTACTGGAGCCACACACCACATTTACTGGAGCCACACACCACATTTACTGGAGCCACACACCACATTTACTGGAGCCACACACCCCACATTTACTGGAGCCACACACCACATTTACTGGAGCCACACACCACATTTACTGGAGCCACACACCACATGTACAGCCTGTACCCACAAGCCACACATACTCCTGCCAATGAGATCGAAGTCCGACACTTTAATTTACTGTTTGCACCACCCGATGTGTTCCGGAAATTTGCCCAGAATCCCGAGACCAGCAGAGAATGTGACACAACTTGCAGACGTCAGATCTAATTTCTCTAATCGTTAACCACAAAAAAAACAGAACATTTTAGATTTTCTGCCTCATACGTCGATATATAAATTACACTCTCTTGTGGTGCATTTTTCCCATCCCCCCTCACCCCCCCCCCCCCCCCGACCCCAAATAACATGTACGACTACCCCAACACTAAAAGTTAATTATTGGATTTTCAATGAAAAGGGGGGGGGGGGCTGGTGTCTTATATTTTATAAAAGATTTTTGCCTTCATGAATGAGACATAGATTTCTTAATTAATGGCTAGGTAAAAACAGACATCCAAAATATAAGACCAGACATCCATACAGACTGTAAGACCAGTCATCCATATTGTAAGACAAGACATCCATACATACTGTAAGACAAGACATCCATACTGTAAGACAAGACATCCATACATACTGTAAGACAAGACATCCATACTGTAAGACAAGACATCCATACATACTGTAAGACAAGACATCCATACTGTAAGACAAGACATCCATACATACTGTAAGACAAGACATCCATACTGTAAGACAAGACATCCATACATACTATAGGACCAGACATCTATACTGTAAGACCAGACATCCAGACATACTTTAAGACCAGACATCCATACATACTGTAAGACCAGACATCCATACATACTGTAAGACCAGACATCCATACATACTGTAAGACAAGACATCCATACATACTGTAAGACAAGACATCCATACTGTAAGACCAGACATCCATACATACTGTAAGACCAGACATCTATACTGTAAGACCAGACATCCAGACATACTTTAAGACCAGACATCCATACATACTGTAAGACCAGACATCCATACATACTGTAAGACCAGACATCCATACTGTAAGACCAGACATCCATACATACTGTAAGACCAGACATCCAGACATACTTTAAGACCAGACATCCATACATACTGTAAGACCAGACATCCATACATACTATAAGACCAGACATCCATACATACTGTAAGACCAGACATCCATACTGTAAGACCAGACATCCATACATACTATAAGACCAGACATCCATACATACTGTAAGACCAGACATCCATACATACTGTAAGACCAGACATCCATACATACTGTAAGACCAGACATCCATACTGTAAGACCAGACATCCAGACATACTTTAAGACCAGACATCCATACTGTAAGACCAGACATCCATACATACTGTAAGACCAGACATCTATACTGTAAGACCAGACATCCAGACATACTTTAAGACCAGACATCCATACATACTGTAAGACCAGACATCCATACATACTGTAAGACCAGACATCCATACTGTAAGACCAGACATCCATACATACTGTAAGACCAGACATCCAGACATACTTTAAGACCAGACATCCATACATACTGTAAGACCAGACATCCATACATACTATAAGACCAGACATCCATACATACTGTAAGACCAGACATCCATACATACTGTAAGACCAGACATCCATACATACTGTAAGACCAGACATCCATACATACTGTAAGACCAGACATCCATACTGTAAGACCAGACATCCAGACATACTTTAAGACCAGACATCCATACTGTAAGACCAGACATCCATACATACTATAAGACCAGACATCCATACTGTAAGACAAGACATCCATACATACTGTAAGACCAGACATCCATACATACTATAAGACCAGACATCTATACTGTAAGACCAGACATCCATACTGTAAGACAAGACATCCATACATACTGTAAGACCAGACATCCATACATACTATAAGACCAGACATCTATACTGTAAGACCAGACATCCATACTGTAAGACCAGACATCCATACTGTAAGACCAGACATCCATACTGTAAGACCAGACACAAGCACCACACACCAGACGTGATGAACTCAATCCATATCGAGGCTGCAGGAGGGTTCAAGAAAATTTCTAGAGTGTGTTGATGGGTCTCCAGACATAATTACCTAGCGGCTCAAGTGTGAGGTCTAGGGGTCAGTACAGGGTCGGGTAGTGCAGGGTCGGGTAGTACAGGGTGGGGTAGTGCAGGGTGGACCGTTGGGGTGGGGCTGTGATTGGTTGGTCAGTACTAGCCGGTAGCTGGTTAGAGAAAGACAAGTAGCTGTGACCTCACTTGAACCGGAATCGATTGCCCGTGAAATCGATACCAGAATTTTGGTGCGCCTGGCCGCAAAAAAATCGTTGACAACAGGAAGCGATACTTTAATTGGCACGCCAAAACCTATCTCGATTTGTGGACGTCAAAACCTATCTCGATTTGTGAACGTCAAACTCTTACATTTAAAGAAAGTCAACTTATATGCTGAATATCAAAAAGTTATAGTCTAAAGAAAGTCATCTTATATGCTCAATATCAAAATATTATAGTTTAGAAAAATTCATATTATAAGTTATACATTTTAATTATTACATCTTTGAAAAAGATGCGATAAGTATGCGATAAGCCTTGTAAAGTAAATAAAAGTTACAGCCGCAAGTCGTGACCATAGAATAAAAAAAAAACCTGAAGATTTGCCTCCTCCATTTAAACTGACTACATCATTCCAGCTACTTGTAAGGGCGGCAACTTAACTACCTAAACTGTTTGTGTTTTTAAATAGTTTGTGCTATATTTAGTAGAAAACGTAATGTTTCTCACCATTAGCTTGCGTAAAGTTTTAAATACATGTTAATTAAACTAAGCATTATTTTAAACTAATTAAAAGTATTAAAATAAGGTATTAAAACACAAACACAAACTCCAACACAAACGTTTTATAAAAAAAAACGGCCGTGTATTTAAACAAAAGTGCTCTCACGTACGTCCGTGCAATTTGCCCTCATCTCCCCCCCCCCCCCCCAACCCGCAATGCAATTAAAACCACTGCCGAACAACATGCTTTCCTGGGCGACAGTGATTTTAAGAGATCATAGAAATAAGCATAAAAATCTGTAAATAATATAAACAACCTTAACATTATTCTGTTTTAATTATGATCCTTAACATATAATAATATATGCGGTAGGAATAAAAATTATTTATACTTAAAGAGCAATATTCAGTGTGAGATGATATTTTTTAAAATTACCTTCCCTTGCATAATTATTAAACAATTTAATTAAGTAGTTTTATTCCACTCTACCTTCATTAAACTTTATCCACAGCCTAAATATCATTTGACATTGATCCGTTTAATATGTTTTAGCAATGTGCGTGTATTTAATGTTTTCTTCATGTTCTTCTGATGATGTGTGCGAACTAGTACAAACTTTGCCGACTATCAAAAGTTTAAGTCGCTATATAAATAGACCCTACTCCAACATTTGGAATAGGACAATGGCGATGCAAGTCAAATGCACGACATGTG